AATCCTCTCCCAGACCTCCTTCCGCTCCTACCAAATTCCTTGTCCAGAGCTCTAATATAACAAATTGAAAATGGATCAACATCAAAACACAGATAGAAGCAGAAGTTCAAAAGGCTTCAAGGCTTACTCTGTTGAGGGAATTCAAAACCTTAATCAATAAAAACATTTTCAGGAGCAGAATGATTAAGAGAGCATTTTATCTTTTTTTTTTTTTTTAAAAAGCTGTTAAAAATCAAAAGTACTAATAAATCCAACTTAACCCAAGAAACAAAGAGGTAAGGGATAGCTTTCTGAATGTATGACAGCTTACTAAACTGGTCCAAAGTTGCCAGAACTCGTCTTGTTTGTAGAAATATTCAGATCCACAGCATCCTTCCCCAGGGAGGTCTATTTAATCACTTCAGAAACGATTTCTTCCAGACAACAAAGAGCGATTAGATTACTTAATTAAAGCACTGATTATCTCCAACGCAAACCAACAGAACACAGAATCTAAAATAGAGAGATTTATCCAGATGCCCTGGCCCTCATTACGCTTTGATTTCAATCAATCGCGCACACACACGTCAAGCAAAGGGTAATAAATTACAACCATATGTTTGAAGAAATTATCTTCACAATATTGGAAGTGAAGAGCCGAGGCTTTAACTGAATGGTGTAAGATATTAGACTTCCATCTGGGAATAATAACCTACTGAACAAAAACATACCGGGGCATTAGCTTCAGGCATTGAGTTAAATCTGGCAGCAGGAGATCAAAATTAAACAGTTGTTTTCTGGGAAGGTGACATTAATTTTGCTAATACAGATAACCAAGAAATACTCTTGTTGTTTAACATATATAATAGAGAGGGAATGAAAAGCTAGTATAATTCCTCTTTTAACCCAAAGAGACATAAACGTACCTCCAGAAATAAAAGGTGGGCAACTCTAGAGATACTTAACATCAAGACTCTTACATGGAACAACTCAGCATGGTTAGGAGGCACTGAAGATTCAGCAGAATTGTTCTTCTCAAGCTTTCATGATTTGAAAGAACTCCACGCGATACTACAAGACTTCCCCAAACTTATTTGCACACCACAGTCACTCAGTATGCTGGCCACTAAGCTTCTGGGGACATAACTCAAATTTCAGTCTAGTCACCAGCAAGCAAATCTATATGGATTACTTCACACGAGTTGTTAACAAATGCATAACAGGCTGTTTCCCTCAAAACACCCACGCTAGCAGGTGCCAGCCCCTTGGGAAATGGCAAACGCATGCCGATGACTCACTAAATGTAGGTGGATGCTTACCACACCTGATTAGAACAGAAATCTAAAAAGGAATGGTACGTGGGCCAAATGAGGCTGACACAAGGAAAAACTGAAATTATCTGAAGTCTTGGGAGACACCCAAGATGAACTCCCTGAGATATTATCACTTACTGTGTGTAAAGGTGAAATGGGAGATAATCCAGAAGCAGCTTGGACCGCGTGCTGAGAGCAGAGTGGGAATAGCACACATTCTCAAAAGTACTTGTTCTTCTATAGAAAGGAAATATTTTCCTCTTCTACCCCCCGCTGGAATGACCAGTATAAGGCATATTTTAAAGCTGGGGAGTGAAGCAAGCACCACGCAGAGCACCATCTTGGAGACAAGTGCTTAGAAGGTATTAAGATACAAAACCTCTTTCTAAGGCGGGCAGTCCATACTGGCTAGATGACTGCAAGCACAAGATCCAGCAGTTTATCCCAGCAAGACTGGAAACAAAGCCACAAGCTGCTTTGAAAAACCTAGCAGAAACCCTCATTATAGGAATAAAATGTCTAACAGCCCAGGAAATTCAAGCACACTGGAGCCCGATGTGCTCTGTGAATGACTGCTTACATAAGATTATTTTTGTATTAACCTCTCTACCATAAAACACAGCATAGCTGTGGTTAGAGGTGTAGCTCAAAAACATTCTCTACCCTGTAGAGAGAAGGACAGAACAGCCTCTTAAGGGACTGCTGTATGAGAACCAATGCATCAGATCAGAGGCTGCTCTCTCAGCATCAAGCTCATCCTCTTCATCTGCAATGCAAGCCAGAAGTCTGACAGCGCAACAGCCAGCGCACTCAAACTCACACTTTTAGAGAAAGAATTTGTAAGGTGAAGTATCAATTAGATTTGTATCGCCTATGAATGGTCTGTTTGGACAGACAACCCCATCAGAGCGAACAGACACAATGAAAGTCTCTGCAGGTCAATACAAGAAACTTTTTTTTCACGCTGCCTACAAAATGAACACAGTTACTGGAAGGTGGACCTGCTAGAAATCTTCCCATATAACAGAAACCATAATTTCCACAAAAGATACCATACTGAAGACTGCCAGCACACTACTTATATTTTTGATTAATACATCAATGCTTTCAAACGGGCCTGAAATATTTCACAGTGCTGGAAAATCTCTGTTGTCGCTGGCTCGGGAATTTGAAACAACACTGGTAACTTTGTACTGGAACCAGCGCATCGTGCTGCAAGCCGCCAAGCCAGAAGGCCAGTGACACCTTTAATCGACATCGCATGGCTCAGACCTACTTCTGGCTTTACAGTGGGTACGCAGTATTAGTTTCCAGCTCTAGCAGACCATGGAAATTACATCACTGCAATTGCCATCTTGTTCCCACTACAACCTTCCCCAGACTTCAGGCTCCCACATGGCTTCAGCAGCTGTTACGCCAGTAATTGCTACAGTCATTCCCAACCTGATTTGTTGGCAAGACCAGCAAGCAGCAGTGAGAAAAGCTGGCACTTCTTACCCCCACCTCATTTCTGCCCCCCCTCCGATCTCCAAGTAAAAATTAAGCTTCTGCTGTCAAAACACAAAATCCAATTGTCTTATTACAGAAAGTGCAGAGTCCAACTACTAGAACAAAAGCATGTTTCTGTCCAAATCTCTGTTGTAGGTAAAGTACAAATCATTTCCAATTTCAAGCATGAGGAACTCTTCAAATGGTCAGGTTAAGTTTCCCTAACTTCGCAAATTCTTTCCAAAAATGCCACAATTTTTACACCGCTCAGCAAAACATAAGCTGCCCTTCTCCTCTTTTTCTGACACATTTTTGTGATCATAACATGCATCAAAGCATACGGTGCTGACAGACATGCTTATCTAGTCTGACTACCCTGCAAGCCGTAATACCCCCGTCATTTCTGGCTGATGACACGAGAATGAAGTCTTCGTGAGAAATCCCTCCCATATGCCCTCTAACAATGTATTCCCTATAAAACTTGCACTGACAAACTGAAAGATGAATTTGATACAATCTCACCTTTTACTTCCATACAATATATTAAGACTACCATGGTACGACACGCCGAACAGGGTTCTGCAGATTCACCTAAGTCTGAGAGGAACCTGTACCGCATTTTCCTTCCTGCAAATGAAACCTTTTTAAAGGAGTTATTGGATCCAGCCATGACTTCACCGTCATCTGATCAGAGAGGAATTCAGAAGGACAACCTTGGTTCCACACAACTACTCATTTTCACCTTAGTGTATTAAAAATCCTATTAGTCCTGGTCTGTTCTGCACACCTAAGTCTGAGAGGAACCTGTTCCTCATTTTCCTTCCTGCAAATGAAACCTTTTTAAAGGAGTTATTGGATCCAGCCATGACTTCACCGTCATCTGATCAGAGAGGAATTCAGAAGGACAACCTTGGTTCCACACAACTACTCATTTTCACCTTAGTGTATTAAAAATCCTATTAGTCCTGGTCTGTTCTGCACCTGGGGAATAACTGCAAACCTCTCTTCACTGCATATGCAAAATTCCTTTCTTCCACTAAGTTCAGATAGCAGTAACAACTGTTACTTACAAGAGAAGTTGGATATCTATGAAAACAACGCATGAAAATAAGTAAAAATTTGATACCTGTAGCAAAAGTGTAAAGATTACACATTTGGACAGGCTACATTTACATCTTTAATTCTTAAATCTTTATATCTTAAACTCAGTAGAACATCTAGCAAGAAAAGTACTGTTTTACCTGCTTTTGTTAGCACTGTAATAGTACAGTGAAACATGATGAACCACATCTAAGGATGTGTCTTATCTCCATTTTTGGGCAACACGAAGAAGCAATGAGGTTTGTTCACCTTTTTCATGGTCATGAGGCATCTCCAACAAGAAAGCATCCCATTACTCAATTAAGCAGTAAATTCACTTTGCTTTGCGGCACACACTTTCTTTTTAGATTTAGCATTACTATTTCTATCCCATCACTGCTTAGGAGACCACAATCTATAAAGATGACAGCTAAACCTGATCATGTCTCAAGACCTCGATGTGCCTGCAATGCAGGACCAGTGCAGTCCCAACTGTTAGAAAAATCGTTCGACTGACAAGTCAGCTAGACAGTTTCCTATTGCTGCTTTAAAAGACACTGCCTAATCTACATTTATCTTACACATGCTCTATTAATTCCTTTGCTTTACACCTCTTTGACAAGACAGGGCCTAAAACAAGCATCAGAGAATGGCCCTTGCAGCGGAATTGCACTAATCCCCATACAACTGCTGCATTTCAGTATACTACTGCCTGTCATTTTACTGGAGGATGTGAAAGTTGCTGCTGTATATATAGATATTTTGGGATAGTACAGTCTTGAGGGAATGGAAAAAGCAGATGGTTTAAGACTGAACTTAGTCAAGATCAAAGAGAACACAGGTCATTTCAGGACAAAGACGCCGTTAATTTGTTAAAGGGGGGGAGGGAGGCAGGAAAGCACCTCAGCATCTGCCTTTAGCATCAGCTGACAGATTTAATTATATTTTTGTATCGTGAAATCACAGCGGATACGCTTCCCAACAGCGACCAGCAGCTGCCTACCCTTCTTCCTCTGCTATACATTGGTATGCCACTCTCAGAGGCAGCTAGGGACCACATTTTACACTCTTTGGGTGTGTTGCATGCCTGCTGAAGGAAACAAAGAAAGCAGAGGGCTCTGTATGGTACAACTGACATACAAGTCTCTGTACTGGTCAAAGGCATTGTTGGCTTCCACCTCCAGCTTGCGCAGGCGAGCAGATGGCATGGCACCGTCTTCCAGGGGAGGATCGTATTTGTTGCTCCATGGTGATCTGCCAAAGGAACATGGAAAACAGAGACAGTTAGAGAACAAACTCTGAAAGGTTGGAGATCTGTGGGTCTGACCTGATCCACAGATGCTGAACTCCCAAAAAAACCCAGAAGGTACTGAAAGCAGACTATCTGTAAGAATTTTGCCCTCAACAGCCATTTCACACACTGACAAAAAGGGAACAGTGACTCCCCAAAGTTTACAGCATACCTGGGGAACACTCCCCATCTTCGGGTTTCTACTACATAAATAATCATGCTGGGGTTTGAATCTGTTCCTTCTTAAATATTCAAAAATGAGGCCTTGGCTGTTGCACATTAGAAATTTAAAGTTATTTTCATGCAAATACAAATAGATTGTGTAGTTTATTTGGAATCTGATGGTATCTGAGCCAAACACTGCTGTCTACAATTAAAGGTCAAAATTCTCCTCCACTATTTTGCTTTGAAATAAACTCTTACTTTTAGCATAACATTAGGAAAACGTTTGAACAGTTTGAAGGATTTAACAGGGTTTGTAAAACTGCAGGTTTTACTATGATTTCTGCAGGTGTGGAAGAGATTTTGTGCTCTTAATGAAAGATTTGGTATTAAAAGATTAATGGAACCCTTTGCCCATCTGCTTGAGACTTTTATAATTCCCATTCTGTAAACCTGCATTCTCCTTTTCATTTCCCCTTGGAATAGCCAACCTACATATATCACTGCTAGTTTAAAGAAAGGTACCTCTACCCCTTACCTACTCACTTTTCAAAATACTCCAGTCTACCAGCACTAGGTCTTAATGCAGTCCATACGAAAGGGCTTTTTCCTCAGCAGCCATTTGTTATTCATTTCTCAGAAAGGCATCTAGTCTTGACATCTGTTTAACGCAAAGCACAAAGAACAGGCTCTGCTTCGCTCTGGCTTTGCGCTTTCACAACACTTCACTCCTCCCTACCACATCGGGCTCAAAAGGTGAGACACCAGGAAAAGCTAAATCATTATGTCGCTTCCACCCGGAGCAATGTTTTTCAGGTGGTGGTTCTCATTTCAAAACAGTTGCTTAATACTCGGTTGCTTTGGAGAAAAGTCAATGGCTACAGTAGTGCTCCTTTACGTAACAACCTCTCTGAAATCTGGAAAAGATTCGCACAAAAATCACCACCAGTGCTATCTGCGGGGTTCCCAAATGGCACACCTACGCCCACCAGGCAGCACACACAAAACCAAATGACACCAAAGAAGTTCAGGCAGACAGAGCATTGACCTTGCTATCATGAAGTCTGCAAAAGCAAAGCCTGGGCTTGTATGCTAGGTAAGGTAGCGGTACACTTCTGCATTATCAGCAGCATTCATTTGGATGTGCTTACTTTTTCTTTCTCTACTAAATTTTAAAAGGTAGATTCAAAAAAAAAAAATCCTACTGTTTTCTGTAAATTCGGAACACTGTGCTTATCCGTCATCTACGAGGAAATCTGTGAGCGGGGAACCCATGCAGAAGCCACAGTCACGATACTTTAATTGTAACATTAGATGTCTTTTACAGGCTGTAGGAATGGGATTTAAGGGAAGCCCAGTAACATAGATTCTGCTAGCTAGCAGATCGTGGCATTTTCAACCCATTACAGTCAGAGCCAGCAGCAACTTCACCTAAAAAAAAACCCCAATCTCATAACACCACCCTGTATTTTTTTTCTTTTTGTGGAAGAGTACTCACAACACATTTAAAAACTTAAATGGAGGCTATTTGAAGAAAGACAGATGGACAAGCACTTAAATTTCAAAAGTCAGACCTCTAATTTCCCTAAAAGAGAATGTTTTTTGTTTCAGCTAACAGGTTTCAGCGTTGTTGGCACCAAATTCCCCATAAGGATTCTATTTAATAGAGTGATCAAACATACTTTGAGTGGAAATGTATGGACAAAGTCAGGGACCTTGAAGTCTTATATATTAAAAAAAAATTAATAAAAGCTCTGCCTTCACAATGTGGATTCTATGGCTGTTCGATATCCTCCACAAAGGTTTGCTATTACAGGAGCACTCACAGAAGCGCCTGCGAGACTACGCGCACAAAAGGCTGCACGAGCAGCGGGGCAATAATACGAAGAAAGGGAAAATTATCTATTTACGAAGATCCAAGAGACACTCCAAAAAACATATTTCTGGTCTGACCCACGTTTGACATGGAGAAAATGAAGTCTGTCTAAATATGAGGAAGGAGTAAACTGTGATGGGTTAAGCATTAGGATATTAATTTCCTTGCGTGCTGCCCCATGAAACTGGTGGAGTTATCACCTGAATGGCCAAACACCCCACAGCAGCAAAATTTCCAAAGCTAATTCCCAGTCAAATTGTAAAGCCACTCAAAAAAAAAAACCTGCTATCAAACTTGATTCCCAGTGAGAAAGTCTGACTACCTAGCTCCACCTTTCCTGCCAAAGTAGCATGAGGCTCAGTTGTCCACAGAATGCTTGGATTCATATTAAAAGAAATGCAATTAGCAACCTCTCCAGTAAGAGGAAAACTGGTGTTCAGTTTGAAGCATGGAGTAATTGGGGATGTAGCGTGCTGCAGGCAGGGAACAGTATTTCTTGGGACTTCTAATGGAGCGTGTGGTTCTGAAAAACCTTTGTGGAAATATCAAAAGCTTTTAAAAGCACGGTAAACTCCTCCTAGATTTTGGCCTAATTGATTAAATTAGTGTGAGAGCCACTTCCCAGTAACAACTTAAGTTTTTATGAGGTATGAATAACAATGTCTGAACACAGGCACAGAATGGGATTAACACATGCACATGTTAGTATCGCTTGGTTTTCAAAGGCTTTTGCTTTGTGCTGAAGGAAAGAATTTACTTCACAAAACAGAGCTGAGACCAATCAATTCCAGAAGGAAGAATCACTTCAATCCAGAACGCTTGAATCAAAACCCTTAAAGAACAGCATTCTTTAATGCCAGCAATTAATACATTATGCCTATTCTACACAAATGAAATAGCTTTTCTGAAAGCCCATTACTTAATAAGTCCTGAAAATTTCAAAGTGATTTAAAAAACCACAAGTCCTCCTGTTTCCCTTTATTTAAATATTTTCTCAGAAAAAAAAAAGAGATTGAGCAAATTTCAGAGGCAAGCATGAAACTAACCTTAAAGAAAGGGCTACCACGTGCACTAATTAAACACGGAGGGGCGGCAGGGAGCAAGTGTTACTAGTTATTGCAGCATGTCACAATACTGTTTAACAAGTGCCTTTCCAAGTTTCCTGTGCCTCTGGTGATAGATGCTCATGTCAACAGCCTAAATAGGATGCAAGGGGACTGCAAGAGACATACCACAGCTTTGGTGATGAAGCATCTCTTGAAAGACCCACAAGAAACAGAGGACCTAATCCCTTCTCTTGCATCTGCCAGAGAGGATGGAGCTGCAGGAGTACATCTTGTGGAGGGCAGGAGCTGTAAAACTCTGTTCTAGCTACTAATTTAGAAGTGATTAAATGCATGTAGCTGCTAACATAGATCTGACCAACTTAGACATACAAGCTTGATGCACAAATGCTTTTAAAAGGCCCCAGGCTCTTTTGCAGAAGGTTGAACAAACTTTCAGTGTTAGATTAGTACCCTAAAGAACATGAGTGAACACTTCACCTTAGAGACGTTCTTACTTCTTGGCCCACTGCAATAGGTTATAGTTAAAAAACCCATTAAGATTTACACTCAGCCATAATCCAGCTGCACTGCCAAACTTTGCATCCATTATCAGTCTCCTCCTCCTATTTCCAGGACAAAATTAATCTCAGAACGCTCTCTGTGTAAATCATCTACAGACAGAAAGGCTTTCAGTTTAGCTAAGCACCTTTCTGGCAACTCAAAGCAATAGAATCCAGTTAACCTAGAATCCTCTAAAAGCTTACCTGCTTCTTGCAATGATGGCCTGAGCCAAAGAAAAATAAATTGTTAAAATATTTTCTGGAATCCCACTTGGAAACAGAATTCTTGAAACATTCTGGCCAGATGAATGTAAAACACTACTGCAAATCTGCACAATGGAAAGCTAGATGTGTACTGTAGATTAGTTCCAATTGTTAGCACTAAAAAATGCAAGCTATTACACTGAAGCTGCAAGGAGAGCCAGGGATGTAACCCGTATAATCATAACCAGGAGCAGCAGAACGGCCGAGCTGTTAACTCAGGACAGAAGATGAATGGTGGTCATTACTTCACAGCCTAGCACCCCTTTGTTAAGAGAAAAGAATAAAAGCTAGGTGATGCAATATTCACAAAGGTTTCTGGACTACAAGCTTTGTGATTCTTAATTAAATATTTGGAACTACGCCACTGTCACTACAGCTATTAAGAAAAGGCAGGCAATGCAAAAAAAGGGGGAAAAATAAAAAGTAGTTGAGCAATTACAGTCGCTCAACTGTAATCATCCTAATGGCAAGATATAGAATAAAAACATTAAAAGAGGGACTGCATTCAAAGTGGCAGCCAAAATACTGAAATATCATTGTACCATTCCAGTATTACAGCCCTTTCTACTTCAAAATTAATTATATTATATAATTACATACAGCTTATATTGTTCAAATATTTTCATTGGGTTTGTCTACAGTCCTCAGAATAAATTAGCTATTTTGGTAGAAAGGGAATCCTTTTCTTTGCTAAAAAACTTGGGCCAAGATTTTCATACAGAACTAATGACATTTCGTTTCCAAAGTCAGACTCAATCCCTTGCAAAATGTGAGTGAAAGAGCCTTTCCCAGCCTGCAAGTCCACCCTGTTTTGTACAAGCAGATGATTTTGTTTGAACCAACTGCCTGCATCATCTCTTTTCTGGTGTCATCCATTCCAAAGATTTTACAGCCTTGCAACAATAGATGGTTTAATTTCATGCCAAGGCCATCACAATTGTTTCTTCTAGAGATCCGACTGGTTTTAATTCTCCAAGACATAACTATACTACAGAAAACCTAAGAGAAATGGGTTAGTCACCCCTTTAACAAGATAACATCATCACATTTTAGGCTTCAATGAATGACTGTAAATCACAGCAAGGAAAATGTGCAGAAACCCCGTGGTTTCCAGGACAAAAACACATCTTGTTCTAGAGACAGACAGTGAGGACTTGCCTTGCAAAGTCATCAGATTAGCAGCCATCCAACCACATTACCTGAAACTGAAGCACTCCACAGTGGTCTGGAGATAATGCTGTTTATGCCCTTTTGTATATTAGGGAAATACTAAGAACAACTTAGTCTTAAGAGAAGATTATTTGAAACAGTCCCAGTTTCCTCGCTGAGAAGAGTTTAATATCATTAATTTTATTTTTTTTTGGCTAAGAATAAGAGGGAGAAGGGACTGCAACACTTGTACGTAGTTCTCATTGACAAAGTAAACCAGTTAGTTCCTTGCTTCGGATATGAACTCACCTATATGAGTCTCCATCTCTGTTGTAGTCACACAATAGATAATCTTTTCCTACCACCTTATCTCGTGCAATCTTCAATGGCTGATCAACAGAGGAGAGGAGATCTTCACAGAGGCTTGGGACCTGGTGGTTTGGAGAAAAAAAAAAAAAAAAAAAAAAACAAACAAGGAGGGAAGAGAGGGTAACACATTAAGGTTAAAAGAGACTGGCATCCCTATGAACAGATTTTGTTATTAATAGCCCAGATCTGTCCCAAAGCCAGAAACCCTTTAAAACAATAAAAAAGCAACCTGCACTTAAATTACAACACAACCCTATGCTCCCACCTCCAATAATTTCAGATTTAATTACCTAGCCACTAGTGTGGTCCAGTACACTTAAATATATACATTCTCAATATTAGCTTCTTGCCAAAGACGGCCAGTAAAGTGATTGTCGAGGACTGATGAATAAAGGTAAATATTTATAATGGAGTAGAAACAAGGGAGCTGCTAAAAGAATATACCATCCATATGCTAGAGTGTATTTTTCACAAGCTCCCACTCTGTGTAGAGTTCAGAATAGTTTCCAGGCAGCTGGCCAAACATTACCATGTTGGCTAATAAAAATACGCGTGTGTCTGTGTGCGTGAACATATAAAATCAAACACATCTCCTACACAGGTAGCTTTTAATGGATTCATAATCCCAGCTGTCTCCCTGCACGTCACGTGGAGAAAGACTACAAGATGTGCTTTCAACAGGGCAGAGAGGCTTTGATGATGAGATGACATTTTGCAGCCTGAAGCTAGTGTGGATGCAAGCACAAGCAAATCAAGCAAATTCCATCCCATGGCCTCTTGTTCTGGGGCTGACAGCAGCCCTGTTATCAATATCCACATTCCTATACTGCAGGCTTTGGCCACCCTAGAGCCTCCTCCGGGAACTCCCTCTCCCCTGTAAAACTTTAGGGCACATGCAGCAGTGAGGGGACACTCAGCAAATCACTCCTGGAGCTATTATTAAACAATTAGTGTATTGTATGTTCCCCTTGGAAGAAGCATTCCAGATTTCCCCCCTAAGGGAAAGGGACTAACTTAAAATGCCCTTCCCAATAAATGTTGGGAACACAACAGAATACAGGACAACTGGCAAGGTCATTAATATATTGGTGCCAACATGCTAATACAGAAGATAAAATAAATAATCAATGTGGAATCTCTTCTACGTTTCATTCTACATTGTAAAGATGAAAACCTGATTGAGAACATGAAGACAAAAGGCAATCAAGGGTAAAATTAATCACGAAGTGATGAATTCACAACTCATAAGAAATAAAAAAGGAGGGAGGAAGGAATAAAGAAAATATGGAAATGTGCTTTCTTCTCTTCAAGCCAGTGAACTGGTTGGTATAATTTCAAAGGAAAAAGCCTAGAGGAGAAAAAACAAATCAGGGGTGCCACAGCTCCCAAAAGCATATGTGCAAACTATTTTAATGCACTAGATGTGACCTAAGACATCAAACTGCCTGAAACAAAAACATTCCCAGTCCCAAGTACAAGGCAATAACATACAGAGGATATTAAGTCAAAGTAAGCAGGGACAAATATAAAACAACATGACCGCAGAAGACTAAAAAAACCCCCAGAAAGGCCAAAGGACAAAACAAGATGTGGCTAGCAAGAGACGCAACACCTAACCCACATAATCATCCCACAAACACATAAAAACCAAGAGAAAAACCAAGAAATCGTTGGTAAAGTTACCGACAGTGCTGAAAAAGCTGAAACGGTAGTTTGAGGTGTGTTACTTTGGTCTATATACACTGTGATGTGGTAACAAGGGATAACTGAAGAGCCTAGATTACAGAGCAGGGCTGTTTAGTTATTTATATAAAGCTAGATGCTTTGCATTGGCCTTCATCGTTCGATACTTGAAGACGGAGCAACTTCAAAACCATTGCGCATTCAGTGAGTAAATAACAGCGGACAAGAAGCAAGCAGCTTTTAGGAAAATTTTACTTTTTCTGAAAACAGACAACCCTAATACTCCACGGAGCTGATACAAATCAGCAGCGTCATGGCCCAGGTTAAGTGAAGTGATGTATCTGCGTTCACAAGCCCATCTGGTTCCACTTTATCTCCCCCTTCGCTTCTTCATTAGCTATTAATTTTAGGCTGACTCTTCAGGCAGAGGACAACTCGAGATGATTGCTTCCATTTTGGATGCACACACAACAAGACCCAAAGCACCTCATCATTAAGAGCTATGCTCCGTGTGGTTCCTAAGAGTGACCAGCTGAATATATTCCTTCTTCTCAGCTGCTCCTTGGCCAGCTGCCCATCAGCACGGAGATGAGCATCTAGGAACAGACTCCTCACTCTGACGTGCATTTAGAATGAGTTATAGTGATGAGAAGACAATTTAGAAAAAAGTGGCGGTTTTCCCAGACTCTGTTTCTATTGAATTTCTTTGGGAAAAGCCCAATTACACAAGCAGTAAGAGAGCACGAGAGGTCTCACTGTACAATTCTTAAAACTCAAATATACATACAGAGCATTTTCAAAAGAAATCCCAAAGTCAAGACAAGAGTCAATTCCCCTGCAGAAGAGCTCCTAATAGCCAGCTGAATTTAAGACCCTTACAAAAAGCCACACAAATAACTTCTAAATTTAACTTTCTTTTAAAAATAGCACGTGCCTAGTATGGTATTTCTATACTGGTCAGTGGGAGAGCACAATCTCTTACTGACTAGAAGGAACTTTTAACACTTTTTTTTTTTTTTTAAGATGCAATCTATTTCATTTCCACATAGTAATGGTGAACTAAACTTATCTCTGGATGATTCAGTAACACAAATATTCACGAGCACGGTCACTTTTCCAATTTCTAAGAGCTGTGGCTAGTCTTGCAGCTATAACAGTAAATAATGTTATATCTATACTACCTATATCTATATAGATAGTATCTATATCTGTTATATCTATACACTATCATATACTTACTAAAATACACTATACCATATTATAATACTCTACTGTAATAGCAAGCTATATACCCATTGTCTCTCTGCTACAGACATGCTACAGGACTTCAGGCAATATATTCTTTTCTCTTTCTCCTTTCAGAATAAAACAGGGAAGAAACCCTACTTTGGAAGCATTAGAAATTTTCAGTAGTGTTTTTATAAAAAGAACAGCGATATTCCAGCTGATGGAACTACTCATGTAATTCTAATTATCGGGAAAACATCCATGTGTGGCACAGTTACTCCAAAAGAATAATTTTTGTATCATTTATTACATCAATGTTCAACAGCTGCTGTACTTCCTTTCTAAGATGAATTTACAAGATTTATGCACGCTGGTCTTCCTCTTCTATGTTCTAAAGCTGCTTACAAGGCAAATGCAGTAATTTGAACAAGGTAATTTGCAGCTTTAAACACTTCAGCTACATGTTCATGAGGCTATTTGAGCCCTTCTGAGTTTAGGTCCTTTGCATTTTAGAACATGCGGTGGTATTTGGCACAGCCAGGCTAAGCTAGGTGCTGCAATGCAAGCACCCTACAGTTATTTTACACTAGGCATGTACTTTTCCTTAAATTCTTCCCCATGTCAAGTATTGAACCTTAAATTACTTTTGTGCACATTCAGACTCTTGCAGAATTCAGTTTATATTTAGCAAGAAAACATCTAAATGTTTCCCAGTAAAGACAACTCTCCTTAGAAGACCAACCGATCCTCTGAGTTTTCAGCCTGAAACAGTGATTTCCACTGTTAACTTTTCTTATGGGCTTGTTCTACATTAACTGAAAAGCCAAAACACAGTTAGGTGCCTGACTGCATGTCTCCAACAGTGATTATACTGGGAACTTCAACTTGAATTTAGAAATGCAAGAAGTAACCCACTCCCCAGGCCAAATACTGAAATGCCAAAGCAGTGATTTTGTTCAATTAAGTGTCATTGCGATGAAAAAATTGAAGCTATGAGGATTGTTTTATATGCAAAGACTGGGCTCCCACCTTTACTTTGACACAAGTTTTGCCCACTCTGAACAGTGGAAGCTCAAATGTAGAATACAATCTTAACCTTGTATCTTTAGCTAAAGGCCATCATTGATTTAATTTGGTCCACAGAGTACTCTGGACCCTAATGAACCCATGTTTCCACAAATAAGCACTCAATCGTCTATTATGGTGGTTGCAAGTGTAGTCATGGAGCGAGACCACCCTCAATGTAAATTAGAAAAGAAATAAAAGAGAGGAATCTCAGGGGGTCCAGACTCAGCTGTTCAGCCTGGAACTGAACAGCAGCATCATTCAGAAGCACATACCGTGCAACAGGGCACTGTGTTTGTGGGATCTTTTTTTTGCAAGGAGATATACAATGAGCGTGTAGTATAGAGGAAAGAAAAACTGAATGAAAAGTGAGTTAAGCATACTCTCCTGCGTGTCGAACAAGGATTCTGTTGTCTCCTGTAACAGTATTCTCCATCAGAGCAAGCCAGGTATGTGGACAGTGTTTTAATTAAGCCAACCACTCTGCTATCAAGACAAATAATCACTTGTGCCAAAGTCGAAACCGTACACTTTTTGGAGTAGCTAACCTAATAATCATTCCTTCTCGACTCACTTTCTGGTAAAGGAACTTACTATCAACTAAACAATTGTTTCCGAATTATTTTTTTAAGTATGATTGAACAAGCATCTAAAAAAAAGAGAAGTACTCCAGCTCTTCATGTCTTTCACACGCTTTCCATCCTTGCTTTGATCATGCTGGCTGAATTGCATCAAATTCTGCACCTTTCACATTCAGGACAGTTAATATTTTGGCTTACCAGCCGAACAACTTGAGTACGCTAAGGTTATTATATTTTCTTCCACAGCCTTGACTGAAATGAATCATGTTTACAATTGAAACAGCAACATTGTCAGTGTAAGGTTCTATGCTTGGAGTCTTTTTCCATGTTTATTCAGAGGTCAGCATGTACTGACCTCCAGAGGAACCTTACACACTGGAAAACTATGCTAAATGCAGCAAAATTAAAAGTGAAACATTTTTTCCTTAAAGAATCAGAAGGAAGATGAAGCGAGCTTGAAAGGTGGCATTCAGATCCATCTTTTGAATGTGTGTCTAACATGCAGG